TCGCCGAGCTCGACATTGACGGCCTGTCGCATGTGGACCTGTTCGGCGGCATCGAGCTGGAGAAGGTGTTTGAGCGGTACGAGCTTGTCGACGCCTCGGAGGAGGAGGTCGGTGCTGCCCTCGCCATGGAGCGGGTGCAGCGCATCAGTTCCGCGGTGGAGAGCGTGATGGCGAGGTTGGAGCTTCTGACGATTGACTTGTAATGACACAGCGTTTCTGGGATATAGGGTTATGGCGTAATGTTGTTGTTGTATTTTCATGACTGTAACCCTAAGGGGAGTCGCCATTTCCTTTGTTATGGGTAGCAGGTTCGGATACCGCTGGCCGTTTGGCTGCAGCGTTGCGCTTCCTTTCTGGAATATGATCACTACTCAGCTTTGCCTCACGCTTGCTTTGTCTTGTCACCGGATTTAGGAATCAGGATAGGATTGCTCGATAGAGAGCTCGAAATCTAAAAAGCATAAAACCAAAAGAGATGAGTCAAACATGCTGCGTGATTATGATCTTGCTCGTGATGACTCGACGATATCAATAACCTCCGCTTGCTCCCTCGACCAACCTCCAAAGTGATTTGAAGCGCGCAAGCTATGATATTGCCTCGCTCAGGAGATACAAACATTCAACATGATCCAAGCGCGTAGATAATCAAACAGTTATCTCCATCCAAAAGTGCGGTGTCATCCCCGTGTCCTTCATTTACGCACCACCAAAGACCGACCAATGACCTCCGGTTGCCCCGTCAACATCCCCCAATCTCATCAACAACACTTCCGGACCACGTCACCGCCCAAACCGACCATTCACCACGTCAATCGACCAAAACTCTATCACCGACCTCTTACCCGTCTGCAGAGTCATCGAATAGAAGGTTTAACCCAATCACGACTATCCCGGTTGCCGCAGTTATCGCTTGCAGCTCAACACAGTTTACCCAACCCACAAATAATCAACAAAACCCCTCGACTCCCGTCCAAGCATTCCAGCCAGCCCAAAAGCCATGCCCCGAAAATCCCCAACCCCCGACGAAGAAGAAGAAGACTTCAACATATTCGTCGACCCCTCTTGTCTTAGCGCACCGATGGACGAACCAACAACAAGCGAAGAACAACGAGATATACATTTACGACCCCAGACTTCGATCGACGTTGGCGGCGGCGAGAAGCGAGACATTGTTGCGGACCGGCCCGCCGAGGGAAAGGAATGCGACGAGATTGAGACGGGGCAGAGGAGGTGGAAGGATATCCACTTGCATCTTGGACCTAGTCGAAGTAGGCCGCAGTCTGCGATGGGGATGGATGCTGTGGAGGAGAGGATTGATGGGTTGCTTGAGGAGATGAGGGATCATGGGGAGGGACATGGGGAGGAGGAGGGTGGTGAAGAGGAAGGAGAAGAGCTGGGGAATGAGGGTGATTGCAGTGCCGAGCACAAGGACAGTACGGTTGAGGAAGACGGTGCGGCTGAGAGGTCGTATGTGAGCCACGACGGAGAGGTGTATGCCTCGGAGGTCGAGGAGTCGCGTTTGACAGATGACGGCGTGGCTCACGTCGATGCAGCGATTATTGAGGAACATCATGGCGAAATGGACGACGAGCTTCACCATGACGAAGCACACGATGCCGACGTTCACGAGAACTCCTACCAAGAGGAGGCGTCTATCCACACCGAGCACTCTTACTTCGACGAGACACAACCTGCCGACCTCGACGACGACGGTTACGATGTCGCGTCGGAACACGACGATGTGCATCACGACGAGGCCCCCACCTATGACGAGTCTTCAGTACCTGAAGCATCTCAGCATGGCTTCACATCCCTCGGCGAGGACGAGCCTTCCCATGTCGCAGGGCCCGACACCGAACATGAGCACACCTTCGAGGACAACCAGGAGCAGCAAGAAGAAGACGACGGTCACGTGGGCCACGCAGACGATGCTGAACCTGACTCCCGCCGCACGTCGGCTATCTCCGACTCCTCTGACCGCCGCGGCTCCCTGCGCACAGAAGCCATCATCCAAGCCGCCGCCCGGGCCGTGGTAGCCCAGATCGAGGAGCGAGCCATCGCCGCGGTGCACAGTCACCGGGCATCTCTGTCTCCCACCAGCCATGTCGACGATGGCGACACCTCCCTGCTCAGCACCACAACCCACGACGTTGACGACCACAAACACGCCCCCATCTCCCCTTCTGTTTCCAACTCTCCCAGCAGGCGCGACTCCTCAACTTCCACCGGCTCCCAGGTCCACCACCACCAAACATCCTCATCCGACTCCGGTTCTCACCACGATCCTTCCGACTTAGATGTCTTCAGCGACCGCTCCTCCAACCGCCATTCCATTTCCTCCGCCGCATCAGAGTCCGAGCCCACGCCCACCCCCAAACTCAAGGGTGGTGGCACCCCGACCCGCTCCCGGCACTCTGGCATATCCTCCATCTCCCAGTACGACGACCACCAAGACTCCTTCACCCCGACCACCAAGTCCTCTCGCAGCGGCACCCGCATCCCCTTCCGCACCCCCTCCGACGTGCGCGCCATCCAGATGTCCTCCCCCACTCCCTCCGTGTTCAACGGCGCCTCCCCCCGCTCAACCAAACGTCTATCCCGTCTTGACAGCCCCACCGTCTCAGCGCAGTACAGTCCCAAAGGCAGGACCCCGACCCGCTTCCTCAAGAGGGACGACCCGCCGCCCCTGGTACTGCTGCACGTCACGCTCCTCCCGCTGAGGTGGGTTTGGGGGGAAGTCGTGGACGGGCTGGATTCCGTCACTGGATGTGGATTCAAAGCGAGCGACGAGCTGACCAGGCTGAGAGACGCCTGGCGCCAGCTGCAGGACCGCGTGGGGGACACGGTGCTGGAGCGCGGGGTATTGCTGCCGCACCCGCAGAATGATTACGAGGTGCTGGAGGAGCGGCTGCTCGAGGCGCTGGAGCTCCCTGTTAGGAGGAGGGCGCGGATTTTGGAGTGCGGGCATTATCTTGGTCCTGGTAACGATGTTGAAGAGGAGGAGAGTGAGACTGAGCAGGAGGATGAATACGATGTACGGACAGGCAGGTTTGGGAAGAAGGAGAAGAGGCACTGGTGCACCACTTGTAAGGGCGAGATCAAGTACGAGAGCCTGGGAGAGGGGAGGGTGTTCAGGGTGAAAGTATATGCGAGCAATGGGCTCATGAAGGCCGGGGCGTGGGAGGCGTGCTGGAAGGAGATGGAGCGGGTTGATGTTGAGGTTGAGCCTCTTGTTGGTGCGGGCTTGCATAGGGAGCTTGAGAGGTTGGCTGTGTGCCAGGCGGAGGAGGAGGAGAGGAGGCAAAGGGAGGCTGAGGAGGAGGAGAGGGCGAGACATGAGGCGGCGATGCGTGCTGAGGAGGAACTGCATGTGCAGGAGGAGGAAGTGAATCTTCCCACCCCATCCTACGACAGCCATCACGGGCACCCGGAGATTCTGTCCTCCCCTGTTCCCGCAGCAATGCACGCCTCACCCCCCTCGCCAATCCCAACCTCTCCGACCATCCACATCACCCGCTCCCCGTCCCCCATCCCCGGCGATATAGACGCAAGCGATGCCCGACGCCGCAGAGACGAGGCCCGTCTCCGCGAGATCTACGGCTCGAGCCCCCCGCCCACCTCTTCCTTCTCCCATGTCGACGACACCACCACCATCCAGTCTTCTGTCTACGCAGAACCACCCACCTCAACCCTTCCCCCCGATATGCAGGATACAGCACACACAACATCCACCTTCCACGCACCCCCATCCCCCCGCTCACCGTCAGAGGAGGCGGCAGAGCGTAGGACGCAGCGCCGCACTACGGGTGGTACGGGGGCGTACCAGGGGGCGAGCTTGCCTGAGCTGGTGTTTGAGGCGGTGAAGGTGCTCATGAGGGACCGGAGGAATGTGGCTATTGCTGTGCTGGGGGTGTTTGTGCTTTTGCTGGCCATGAGGCCGGGGGAGGTTGACGTTGCTTACCGCGTTGCGCCTGTTGTGAGGGATGAGGTCGTCCTCGGCGCGGCGGGGAAGATGGACGCCATGGGCAAGTTGGAGACTGTCGAAGTTACCCCTGTGGAAGAGGTTGCGACCTTGACAGTCAGTGCTACGCTCGCGAGCGAGGCAAGGGATGAAGCTGCTGGAGCCTCTCCAACCGACACCGCGGTCGACCAGACACCGGAAGAGGATCGAGTGGCCGATACCAAGTCCACACGCGAAGTTCCTCCTTTGATCAGCGAGGCCAGGAGCAGCTCGACCTCTACGCAGGCGGGGGAGGAGACGGTGACGGAGAAGAAGGTCGTTCGCGTCGTGGAGACTGTCACGGAGACGGTTAAGGTCAGCGTCACGGCCACGGAGTCTGCTGTTGTCCCTCAGAAGACGAAGGCTACAATCGGGGTAGTGAAGGAGGCAGCCATGGTGGGTGCGAAGGTCGACATCGACAGCGATACTGTCTGGAGTCTTGCCGCGCCTGACCTGGGAGTGGAAGTATGTCCGGTGCGGGAAGACGTGTGTGGCGTGACATCAGTCTTCTAGGGCAGTACACGAGACAAGTGTCGGTGGTGGATTTGGAGGCTCGGATTTTCAGTTTTGGATTTGTCGAAGCAAGCGTTCTCGCGAGACTGTTCATATTTACAATGAGGTTGTAGTAGGGGGAAAGCAGATCGTTGATGTGTGGAGGAAGATAGCATAATGTGGGAAGATGGAGGATCAGTTCGTCCAAGTTACTTGCAATTCGCGACTACGACCATTGGTTTTGTAATGCCCCTTTATGACAAAGTACATAGATCACTAGATCAGATACCAATTTGACAACTTCCCCTAGACATGCGACCTTTTCGAAGAGCTGCGGTGAGGCAAGTGAACATTGGCGATGTTGCGAAGGTGCAGTGAGAACGGAACAACATTGGAGCAGCGACCGGCTTTGCACACAATGTCCCGAAGCAAGGGCCTCGAGGACACATGGCAGACAGCAGGACGTATCAAAAAAGCAAAAGACAGAAAACCCGAAAAAAGAGAGGAGTAGCTGCGCTCCGTTTCGATCGGAGGACCTCCGGGTTATGAGCCCGGCTGAGGAGAAAGAGTTAGTAATGTGGTTCGAACTACTCGGGTTGAGTTTTGAGAACTTACCGCGCTTCCACTGCGCCACGCAGCTGTCAATGTGATTGATGACAGGCTTGCGCTAATTACAGTTCTTGAAGGCCGAAGCGTCCATGAGTCACGAAGGTAGGGAGAGTTCGGTATCAGACACAAAGGTTGGCGTCGAGATGAACTCGAGGTTGAAAGAGGCAGTGTCACGTGGGGAGGTGGAGCCGATCTGGCCGGCTTAGGTAGCCTTCGTCCTGTTCATCATCGGCTCCGTATCTGGTTTGATCATTTCTAATCAACTTCATTCAACATCTCAACGTCAAGAAGCAATTCTGACATCAGTGTTGAAGATGTTGTCCTGACGATTGGAGCAAACACTCAATTCATCGGTTGCTACCTCACCTTGCCTTCCCGTTTCCAACTGCTGCCCAGCCTCCACCTCAGCGTTAACCACATCGACCATGGCCTTCAACCAAAACCCTCAGAACAGCGCCGGGTTTCCGGGGATAGCATCGAGCCCTGTCCGCAATTAGCATCAGTCCACCACCACCACCTCGTTCAAGAAGTACACTCACATCCATTAATCTGCTCCGCAACAACATCCTTAACGGTACACGCGTTCATGGCCGTCATGGACTGCGTCTTGAGCGTCGGACAGTTGACGTAGCACGGCGAGTCCATCGCCCGCTGCAGCGAGTCGTCCTTCCACCCAAAGACGTAGTCGCCGTGCGTGCCATAGCCGGTGCTGTCTCCCATCGACCAGTAGAACGCCGGTCCGTCCTCGGGCCAGTCCGACTGGTTGTTGAACTGGCGCGTGTCCCAGATCGTCTCGTACATAAGCTGCGGCACCTTGACCGGGTGCGTGGCCGGGCAGGGGCCCTGCGACTCGAATGTCCCCTGCGCCGGGTAGGCCATGTGATCCATGTGGTTGGGCGTGTCCAGGTTCTTGCCGTCCCAGCAGCTGTTCGCATGCGCGTAAGTCAGGTGTCATACCTTGGGCAGCTACATTTCGATCTACTCACGTCGGGAAGCGCAGGTTGGCCATGATACCCGCTGGGCAAGGCTGCTTCGGCAAGTCCTTCGTCTCGGGGAACCGGGTTCCCATATCTTGGAGGCAGGTGTACGTCAACTGCCGGAACTTCCTCACCTCGTCCTTGCTCCGCGCCATGGAGTCGCCGATCAGCATGCGGAAACCCTGCTTGAAGGCCGTCACCTTGGACTTTTGCTGGTAGTCTGACAGACCGTCTTGCATGCTATCGAGTGTCAGCTTCGTGCAGTCCGCCACCATACCGCGAAAAGAACCCACTAATAGACGGTCATGCCGCCGTTGGAGTTCTCGAAACCGGCGTTGCCTCTCTGCGGCACGCGGTGGAAGGAGCCGTTCTTGTGCTTGAAGAAGAGGACTGCTGTCCAGTAGTTGGAGAAGTCTTCGGAGAACTGGCACGATGTACAGGTCGAGTCGTTCGGCATGTCCTTGTCGTACGCCATTGTCGCGTTGAAGGAATTCTGTGACAGGGTCAGCTCGGATTCACATTCCACTCTCCTATGGATTGTCGTACGCCACCGATAATCTGATGGAGATGCGGCGAGGGGTTGAGACCCGGATTGACCAGAGGGTCGAGACGCTCAACAACAAGTTGAGAGCAACCGAACCGGAGAAGAGCCTCGGTCTGACCCAGGAGGGCCAGCGATTCAAGCGTACTCCAATACATCGCGGCTTGTGGCTGTTAACGACACTCAGTCGACGGTCGGATGTGAGCGCAGGGTGTTGCAGAGAACCGACAGTTACGGCATACGGGCACATACAAAGTCACGGCTGGCAAGTGCTACACCGGGTTCTGGGTGCCACGGCCATTTTTATGAGAGCTCTTCGCCGGACGCACGCATTTCTCGACTTTCCAGAACCCCAATGCCAAGCAAGACTCGAAGGCCCTCTGGCCAATCTCCGCAAAATTGAGCCGCCTTGGATCGATGAGGCGCCTGGCAGATACGGCCCGCGTCGACCAATGCAAGGCAATCCGCGGGAGAGCGGTCAACTGCCGCTGCTTGGTGCGCACCTGGTCAATATAAACATACTGGCCAATACCCGCCATGAGGGGGCGACTTCAACATTTTCCCTTTCCGTTCAAATGGGCAATAAGCCGACCCGGTTGATCACCTCCTACGAAACATATTAACCCAAGTCTGATAGGGCCTTAGATCTGACAAGCGTCAGCTATGGATGTCAAAACAGAGTCCCGAGATCATGTTCTCGATCACAATGCCTCGAGTAGCTATTGAGTTGTACTGAAGAGGCGGAGCATCACGACTATTCCATTCTACGTTATCAGGGGCCATACCTGTGCTCCCATGCATATGTCCCTTGTCTTCTATGCACAGTGGAATCCCCCGTCCACTTCTACATTGAAACGACGATCGATCCGCTGCCTCATGGGCAAGACCTCGCCGGAGCCACAGTCAACCCTAACCCTTCACGCTGTCGATTCCGCAAAATTTGCAAAAGCTCGAAATTGTCAAAACGCCCACCACCCTCAACCACGCTTCATCAACAAAACAACAACCAAAAACGATGGTCCTGTCCTCGCGGACATCACCGGGAATTGAGCCCGATGCGGGGGTCGAACCCGCAACCTTGAGATTAAGAGTCTCACGCTCTACCGATTGAGCTAACCGGGCTGCAGAGCTTGTTGTGGATTGATGTTGTGACGAGCCGGTATCATGACTCAAGAGCTTCACAACCGAGAAGGCAGGTTGATGACGGACGAACCGAGTCAGTCCACCACGTGCGGGATTCGCCGGATCGCCTGCATTCCACGGCTCGTCCCAAACCCTCGCCGATCAGCTCGGGCGGGAATCTACGAAGATCCGGATAGATCTGGTGGGTTCCGCCAAGGCGCAAGGTCTGACAAGAGGTCCAGATATGTGTGTGTGCTGTGTTAGCGACAGATCGTGAGCACTTCTGTACATCTCCAAGCCCGATATGTTGTCAAAGGAACGGCTGGATGGGCTCGAGACTCGGCGGTTGCTGATGTGCATCCGATATTATTCGGATACGCCGACGGACGACTCCCACCTAAGAGGTTCCGCGGACTAGCAACTCTGGCATATTCGGCCGAGGATACCGAGCTATAGTCAAGCACAGCCTCCCTCTACTCGGCGACGACACCATCGGGCTGCAACCTCAAGATCCCGACGAGGTGTACGGAGGCCGGACGCAAAGTGACCGGTGATCATACCACATTTTCTACTAAGCTGCTTGTACATATCCAGGGTTCACCCTAAGTACCTTGGCACATTCCAGCTTAAGCGAAGGCCATTACGATTTCCTCCTGATGACCTCGGTCGCAAAGGGGATCGTGCTCGATTCAAAAGAGGCTTCATCCTCCCCCCGTCTACTCAGATTATCTACTCGTACATCATCACCAACAACCTCAGCCTCATCACTCCGTCCAAACATCGGACACCAACCTCCATTACGCCACAACAAGCGTGTCGACCACATCACGTCAACCCCGACCTACCCAACTCCAAATCTCCAACACTTCAATATGGGTTGCGGACCATCAGCCCCACGCCAGCACTACGGGCCCCGTCCCGTCTATGTCGCACCCCGGCCCGTCGTCGTCGCTCGGCCCAGGGTTGTCGTCGCCCAGCCGGTGGTGATGCGCCCTGTTGTCGTCGGCCGCGGCCCACCTCCCCGTGGGCCGCCTCCTCGCGGCATGCATGGCGGCCCGCCTAGGCATGGGGGACCTCCCGGTGGCGGGAGACGTGGCGGTGGAGGACGGAGGCGGTAGAGGAGATGCTGCAACATTCGCTACCTCGCTGTTCTTTCCGCAAAGCACAACACGAACACCCAACTGCCTTGCGTTCACCACCTCGAATCGGTTTCCGGCTCGCTCCCAGCTTTGGTCACCCCCTCGGCGCCAAAAGCATTGTTCTTTCGAGGGATAATAACTGCCAAAATCCCACGAGTTCTTGCTTCCTCGATGTCTCGCTGCAGCATTACAACCCCCGAGAGGACATTTGAGGCGCTTGTCGAGGCGGAGACCGTGCAATGGCGAGCAGCAACATCGGGCAGGCCATCTGAGCTCGGTTTGCGACCGCCCGCTTCCGCCTGTAGACCGTTGGATCATGCAGTACCTCGGACTGTAGGTTTCGGAAGGATCACCGCTGAGTCGCACGCTGCATAGCGAAGCTGTGTGCTGCAAGACGCTGCGCTTTCTGGTCTTGATCAAGTCTCCCAGGCACGATGCATTCACTAGGTGGTCAAGTTGTGATGTCAGCTGGAGACCGGACCTCAGGGGCGCATAAGCCCTAGGAAAGCACATGTTGTTTTCGTGGAAGAGTTGCAGGTTGATACCTACGTACCATGAATCTACGGAGGATGCCGTCGTCGTTGAAATGGGATTGTTGTACACTACCTTAGGCAAAGCTAGGCCCGATGCTGGAAGTTATTCAGTAACTGGATACTTATCCTGTTATCCATAGCTAAACTGTCGTCCTCAATCAAGCTCAATCATCTCCCACGCCTCGCAGCATCTCATTCTCACAGTCCTCAACAACCAGCATCCAGTTTGCCCGTCACTCGCTTAGATGGGTAACAACACCCTTTACCCCATGTAATACCCATCGCGGATCCAGTTTACCCCAGATCTGCAAGGGACATATGGAGATCCGGTACTTAAGTGACTCGGCTAAAGCCAGCGTCTGACGGTGCGGTACGAATACATAGTACCATTTTCCGAAATTGGTCTCCGGTTGTCCCTGCATGGGCAACTCTACCGTAGTATTTCCCCGCGTTCTCTAACCATTGCCGCTTTCTCGTGCAGTAGAAACTCTCCGATTCAGTTGGTATGTCTGGCGTCAAATGTCGGCAGTCGATGTCAGGGGTATTATTGACGCTGAGACTCGAGGTGGAAAAGTCCTCAGATCGCAGACAGGAAGAAGCCCAACGTCTTGCCCGGCGACATGAGGATTTCGAAATATCCAGAGAGCGGATTGGGGATGTGTTTTGGGCCATGTGGTTGTCCGGCTGACATACGATACGTGCTGACATGCATCCAGTGG